ATTTACCCAGTGGATTCTGCAGGTGTTGGAAACAGAACTCGCATTTTGTGTTGTTTTCGTTGCGGTGGGTAAAAATTAACCGTATTACAAAATCTGGAACCCTGAGGACAATGTTAAATAGGTACCAGGCGTTGCGGTTGCGCTTTGTACTTTTTCATTCTAGTACGCCATTGCCAATTATGGCACTAATAGGCAGCCCCCCCCCCGCACTCGAGCAATTCTTAGGCGCCTTTCCTGGTACAAGTTACAAGTAGTCGGGTCCGCGAGGTTCCAGACTTGGTAATACTGCTAACGTACCGACGTACTAATGAATACAGTGCGATTCTCACAATACGGAGGCTGGCAGTTTTGACGCCTCCGTATTGTGAGAATCGTAGTTGTCCCGCCCACCGAAACTCGAGGGCTATTTTCTGTCACGAATCTTTACACTGTGCTTCTCATTTTTTCACTGTTAGATTGTATTAGCAATGTATGACGCGAAAAAAACGAGTAATGAACCAGATGCGGCACGATAACCCCGGCATTTAAAGGCAGTTGGCACGATAAATCGCTATACAGATGTAGGATTTATACGACTGGCTTAACAGAATTCCGTGACCTCGGACAGGCGCTCCGTGGCGCCTTTTCCAAGGAGGGTACCCCTATAACGCCCTATCGAGCAACAACATTCCGTCCCAAACGCCTTCCTCCCGCCCGCCCACAAACGGACGACCGTTCCTGACGCTCGTATTCATTCATTTGCTAAGCAAATTATGAAGCGAAGGGATTGGTATGAAGCGGCCGTGATGCTGCATGCATATATGGGTACACATATGCAGCCGTATCTTCGGTAGCGGTGATTGGCAAGATGCCTACGGGAAACTCGTCCGAAATCGATTTTCAAGTCACTGAGAACGGAGGCTTTTTCTTCGCAGGATTTTGACCGTTTCACTCCGTTCTTTCGCCATTTCCCCACTACATAGCGCCCTACTAGCATTTTAGGCCGAGTGGGAAACCATGGTGCCAACTGCCTTCGAAAGAGCGGGTCGGGAGAACTCGTCCAGAGATATTTGCCAGGTCCTTAGTCAGGGTGTTCCTCTATGTCTTTTTCGCTATTTTCTTCTTTGGAGAGTCATTTAGCGACTATGGGTCTGTAATTGAATGCCACGGTCCACAATATACCGTCGCGGGGTATGTCTTTAAATAAAACTCGTCATCATGTTGTGCCATAGGCGTTTGGTCGAAGACTACCGTATGTGGGCGGGTGTGTATGTTTTCGTGGAGAGGAATTTGTTGTTTATCCAGTCTACATTACGTGCGAGTGAAAACTATTGCGCCGTATATGGGTTGTTGGACCGGCTGAGAAGAGGCGGGAGGTGAGATGAGGCGAGGCGCGAGGGAAAGGGAGGGGGATGTAGTCGGTTGTTGATTGTTTTGACACGGACACACGCCGACTGCCCAACATCTTGGCTTGTACAGCATACGCATGCATGTTCTCTCTGACACTCTCATGGCAGTCAACTGTCTCTCGACAAATAACTATTGCTAATTTGGGCCTTGGCACGATTTGTGGGTGTGTGTGGGTTGCACACACTACTTTGGTATTAAGAGGTGCGATACTGGAGTTGGGAGACGTTAAAATACTGATGCAGCCTGGTGTTATTGGAACAGGTAATGCAGAAGGGACGAGTTAGAGGTATTTCACTGGGGATTTCCTATGTCAGAGCACATCATCGTTGGGGATTCCCCAACAGGGGCGGGAGTCGTATTAGGTCTGAGAAAATTTTTTTCCCATAGCTGGTTTGTCTAGTCTCCCCCCCCCCCACACTCGATAGCACTCGACAGTTTTGGAAGAAAGTAAGAAAATTTTCGTGAAATTCCGGAGAAACTGGAGTAGGAAGTTGAGGAAATCTCGAAAAGTGGGGGTCGTGCGGACTCGACCAAAATCCCACAACGAAAAATGTGCGCGCCCTGTCCCAAAAAGGAAACAGAGCACGTCGTACGTTGGAGATCTCCACCGCGGGGGTCATACTTGGCCGCTTGAAAGAGCAGGGTCGTGTTGGCCTTTGAGAAGAATGTTTTCGCTTGTTGACTTTTTCGATTTTCTCTGTTTCGACAGTACTAGCACTAACCCATCCCCACCGCCCCGCCCCCCTCCCTCACCTCCTCAACGCCACTTTTTTTTGAAAAATGGGAGCAGGGTTAGAAAGTTGGCAGAATTTGGGAAAGGCCACGCCGGGCGTTGGGCATCCCCAGAAGGAGCGGTCGTATACGGTTTGGTTGCTGGATTAAGGAGGGGCCGTAGTCGTTTTTTGATCGGATGAATGGTTTTGGTTTTGATTTTCTCAGCTTTCCTTCCGTTTTGTGCCCCCACCCCATATCGCTCAACGGTTTTTTTTCTTGGGAGAGGGGTTGTAAGGAGAGAGGATTTTGAAAAACGGCAGTTGTTGGGGGGAATTGAGAGGAAGATTGTAGGGTGTGGAGGGGGAAGTGGTCATACCAGAGGGAATTCTTTACGTAGGGGAGTCGTATTTTGCGAGAGTTCCCAGCGGCAGGACGCTTTGATTTAGGAGGATGCTGATTATTGGAGGATGGGGAATGGAATGTCGTATCAGAACAGCAACCTCTAAGGAGTGGGGGGGGGGGAAGAGGAGGAGTAGAATTTTGCGAAAATCTACCCCAGTGGCAAGACGTGCTGCGATAGAAAAACAATCCACTGGCTCCGGGTGTGTCGACATTCATATTTGCCCCAGCGAAGTTTGGGTCTTGTCTGGTGCTCATCTTCGCGTTTACTCCTAGTCAAAATGGTAGCGTAGGGTGTTCCTGTCTTGAGAAGGAAAGTCTGTCAATGGCGCCGGCTCCTAGACTTTCACTGGCTCACTCTCAATAAAGGGAAACCGCGTCGTGGTTAGCTATTTTTCAAGGTATTAAGGAGCGGTCTTCCCGCTCAATAGTTGTTCCTGTGAGAGAATCACGAAGCTGTACTCAAGTACGCGGCAGTTAATGGAGTTGATGACGAGACAAAACGGCCGGCTGACGTCATTAGCTGGCGTTATGTGCCCGCTGTGACAGACTTTTTTATAACTCGGTGACGACTACGAAATAGGCTGTAGTTGGCGTGATGCCATTCCAGGAAACTAAAGAATAAAGCTGAATCCTTAATTTGTTGAAAATAGCACTGATAGCTATTTAAACTTCTAAATTTGCAAGTTTAAGCGAAAATTTCTTATCCTGACGGAACTTTGCAGTACTGGAAGGTTTGGGAGCTACAACGAAACGTAATCATCCACTTTACAGGAACCGTTCATCCGATCAAGAGAATAAAAAGCGAGCCGTTTCCGGTGACGAATGTTCAACAGCCAGTGATGTCACCGTTTCCACCTCCACCCGGTTCCGCTCCCATGGGAACCGCTGCGCCTTCGATGATGAGCCCTTTTGCTGCCAGTCAGAGGTTTGTTATGTATTCACAATTGATTCGCAGGGAGTAACAAATAAATTAAGAACGTTTTTCTTATGAAAACAATGCAGAACAACGATAAACAAATAGTTATTCCGTCATTTCAGTCCTTCTAAAGCGGTCTCTTCGCCGGCTGGAGCCCGTTTCGCCGGAGGCCCAGGTACTCCTTCAACGCCGCACGCTGCCCAGAATCCTGCGTCTGTTGGCACAGCACCAGTTGCCGTCTCACAGTCAGAACCCCTTCACAGCACCAGTCCGCATCAGACGCAGATTCAACAGCATGGAAGTGTTGAAGCACCGTCATTGACTGGTGCGTGATTTTGAAATTGTTACCGATTGTTACTGTTTTCAAAGTTTATCAATATCTGGTAGAACGCAAAGGCACCTTTTCTTTGGTTGCAAACTTCTTCGTATTCGTAAGAAAGAATGCGTTTCGACTAGATCAACTTTACACGGCGGCCCAAAGTCTCGAGAAGGGAGGATGGCTTGCTCTTGGAAACGTTTCAGAACCCATTTCCGCTTAGGCTCTCCTATACATATACCTAGTAATCCGATGTATGTAATCCGGCGCACGAACGTATCCGGTGGCGCATCTCTGATGGTGCTCCTAATGAACAAAGTGCCTTCTTTTCTGTCCTCTTCCTGGGCTTGGTCCGCAATGGTTGCGTGGGCGGAGACAGAGAACCACCGCACTTCCATTGCATCCCTCTTTACCGCCTTTACCCGTGAAGGATGTGTAGTGCTTTTTCGCTTCATGTTCCAAGTCCATCCATTCGTAGCGGGAAATATGTTCAGCTCAAACAGATAGCTCATTTTTTATGAGAACCAGCTACCTGAGAGTTACTTTTTGCTCTTCTACGGAGTCATTTTACCATTCTTGGTATTTCCAGGATCCGCTCCCTACACCCCAGCGTCAGTGAATTCGGGTGTCGCTTTGCCAGCTGTGAATCCTGCCGACCACCCGTTCGGCAATATTCACAATTTATCAGTGACAAACCTCGACATCGAAATCGATGGCAAAAGTCTCTTTGGCTCGGTGAGTAAACTCGATAAGATAGGCGTGATTTGACGTACTTGCACCAGAATCCATTGTGATACGCACTTTAAATTCGTCCTTTTCAGACTCTGATGACAGCTGACGATATCAAAAAGTACTTGAACGATAGCGACACCGTTTTCTCAGCCTTTGACGATCTTACCTGCACGGTGAGTTAATAAAATGTTTCTACGGCTTTGCCTTGATGCTGAGCTTACGGTACGGTACGCAGGAAGTGAAAAATGCAAGGGAAGCGACCGTGGCACATTGTGGGGATGCGCTGAAATGAGCAAAGTACAGTCCGGGTAGTTGCAGTGATCCGGGCAGTTTTTTAGGCGGTCGAAGGTCGCAGACGCGGCTGCGACGCAACGTGACCGCGGCGATCAGCTGTTTCCAGCCTATTTAGCCATTTTCTCCCTAATTTTCACTGTTTTTGGCTGCTTTTCTTAAGGTTAATCGTTCCTTGTCTTCGCAACGTAAGTTATGATTGAGATCTATCAAACTTAAGCAGCAATTAAACAAGTACCTTGAAAAATTGCAGAAACAGTTCTTTACAAAAAAATTCACTTGCTAACATACTTCATCAACACAAAAAACAACTTACCTTGAAAAAAAATAATACAGTGAAAATTAGGGAGAAAATGGCTAAATAGGCTGGAAACAGCTGATCGCCGCGGTCGTGACGCGCCGCAGCCGTCTGCGACCCTTTGACCGCCTAGTCAAAAGCTCGAAGACGACTGAACTTTCTAGATTTCAGGCAGACTCAGTTACGTGTAAACCTGACCTTTTGCCGCAGTCTGGAATTTCTGTAGTCCAGACAGGCAGAGGACAAATGTGGCGGCGCGGGGAAGGGTTCAGTTGTTGGGGAGAGGGTGATCCACTTGTCGTGGGTGGAACAGCGGAATATATTAGCCGCAGAACGTCGCTTAGATAGAGGTCGCAGACAGGCACAGAAAATTGGCATTGAGTTCACTGAGGTTATTAACAGAAATTATCACTAACTTATGAGCACGCCCCGCCTTTGGAAATTGTGAGTAGTGCGGCTGAAATACTGAGGACAAAGTGGTATATGATTTAGAGGTGAGGAAAAGAGCAGGGAAAAAAATCATGCGACCCTATACCACCCCTACTTTTACAAGCATAAGGCGGTCAGAGGGCATTATTGGACGAGTTCTAACTTGTTCGTATCCGCTGTTCCCTCTTATCGCCTCACTCTCATCATTCGTAATGGAGAGCTAGTAGTGGAACAACCGCACCGTAAGTAAGCTTTTAGAAGTAAAAAATGGGCGTTGTCGCTGCCAATGGGTGGAGCCGTGGCCTCGACGCGAGCAAGTCGCGTCTTCCTCACGTTGTTTCGAGCCACGAAAGTGGTACATCTCTTACGCTTGTGGATAGGAGTACCATGTCAAAATAAGGCGTCTGACTATTGAATAAACGTGGGGCCTACCTTTCAAAATTGAAAAAAAACGTTGACGAAAATCGGTTCTGCTGTTTGTAAAGCCGGATTTTTCGCTCAAGCGACTAGATTAGGATGGCTATTACTGAGTTCATTTATATACGGTATCGGAGTATATAAACTGAAGAGTCGGAGTATACAAATTGACGAATGCTGTGAAAATTTGATGATTTTCAGAATGATCCTCCACCTATCGTTGGATTCCCTCACTGCTGGGAAGATATCCAGTCCATAATCGCCGCTGATGAAAAGCGAGGTTGACTGTGCTGTGCTGAGCGCGTTTACGCACGTGCGAAATCACCGCCCAATCGATAATCTCATCTGATCTACTATTGATCGATAACCGCAGATCGCCGCTTTCGCTTCCATGTGTTGTGATGTTGTTGTGTGTGTGGCACGCTTCTTGTCATTATATATTAATATATTATTTAAGAGTATGCTATATATGGCGCCCAATTTCTCTTCATATGTGCATGTATAATCTAATCAATATATCGATTGACGCGCATAAGCAGTTTTCTCTAAGTGTAGGCCGAAATTACGGTACATATACATACAGCTCACATGTAGTACGTATACGACACCAATAATATCCGTATTCTCATCTCGTAGTATGTCTCTATGGGTAAAGCAGCAACCCCGCCCATTGGTTCATTTCATCGATTGTTCTAATAATCACTTATCACTGTAGCCCGATCACCGTTTATCAATGGCGTCCTTTGATCTTGCTACCGTTTCTCTCTTGAATACAATCTTTTGTGTGTCCACCGTTGGATTGTCTATTAGCGCGACTTCTCACGGTGCACCACATTAAAACATATTTGTAGCCACTACCGTACTCTGCTGGGGAGACGGTAGTTTTGCGCGTGTCGCGCGTTTGTAGTATTACGTCCATACATCTCAAGCATTTCCATATTTTATACTCTCTCACCATTATCATGTTGTTACGTATTTGAGATACCTAGTGCTTTAGACTGTTCCTTGCACGTACACAGGCACATGTCGTTGCTGTTCCGCGCAGGACCCACATTTCTCATGATACTCTGTATTTGAGCCGCCACTATGTGGATTCTTTCCGTTTTTTTTTCTTCATCGCATCACATTCTTCCGTTCAATCATTCATTTCATCGTATATTCCCTGTGAGTATTGTGCTATAATTACATACGTATTTCTTAGATCTATTCGCGTCAATCAATAATTTAGTGTGCTACGTACATACATGCGTTTTTTTCTAATAACTGCGTTCATACAATCGTTCATCAGCTCTTGTTCTAATCATGGTTTGATTGTGACTTTCTCGTCTTTTGTGTACATACGATGATATACATATTATATACATAAGTATATGATGGTCGAAATCACTCTGTTCCATAATACAACAGTTGTGTTATGTAACCAAAGCCAATAAAATTACGCAAAATAGAAAATTATGTTTTTCGGGAGGGTTCCATGAAAAGAAGTCTATAACTAAAGAGCTACAGTAGTCAGGATCTTGCACTAATAGTTTCAAAATTCCGAGTACTTACGAGCAGTGTTCGCACGCCATTTTATAGCGGTAGGTGTAAGGAAGGCAGAAGTGATGTATTAGGTTGGCCGATAAGTAATGGCCGTTTTTTCAATTGAAAAATTTGTTCCAAAAGTGAACTGTTTTGCAAGCAAGCTTAATATCGTTTAATAGCAAACTTCTCGTAGTATTAGAATATCAAAACAGCTTCGGTTGAGGGAAGAGTTTTTGTGGATTTTTCAGTCGTTGAAGTTGAAAGTGAAGTCGGCGAAAATTAGCACCTTCGACAACTGCCTCTATTTAGAAATTTCATGCTAATAGTTGAATTAATTGAATTTGAATTTGATATTCTAATACTAAGTAAATATGTACTAGTCGATCTGTCAATATTACCTGCTGTGTGGTAACAAGATAGAACCCTGCCTAACCACTGCTCTCTAAAGAATATCGTGCTACGAAAGACGTACTCGGCAGTCACTAGCCTCTCCAATTGTCCTCTTGGAATTAAGCGAAGGAAATGCTGGTTTTGCCACCTCAAACCTAAATTAAGATAACTCAGCTCTATTGCCATTACAATAAACGCACTTTCACCAACAAGAAACGAGCTTTTCAATGCCAGTACCATGAAAGCCTAGGGTTCTGAAAGCGATGAAGTCATGTGGGGGTTTCTACAGCGCTTTAAAAGTATAAGGGCTCTCCTCAGAACGGTTCTTCCTATTCGGAATGAAGATTTCATGACCTGAAACCTAGGTTATTGACCGTGCGCCATAGTTCTGCTTTCACAAAACAATATGAGGTATCACTGAGGAAATTCAGAAGAGAGCATCCTCAATGAACGGATTTCATGAGTAAAATTTCTCCTTGCTCTCAATGCCGTGATTCTGCAGACTGCACCTCTTTTCAACGCATACTCTTTTGAATGTGCAGTGGTGCTCTTAGTTTATTACTGTTAGGGAACACGTTTATGTGAGGGAGCCTCTTAAAGGCACATTTCGCGATGTGTAACATGTACAAGTACTTTCTCTCCATTCCAGACGTTTATCCCTTTCGCGGCCAAGCAATAAGTGACGAGGGCGGTGCAAAGATCGTAAGCGGAAAGTACGTCAGTCGAAGGCGAGATTTTCTTGTGATCCCACACCTATAATAATAGGTGTGACGCGATGCGCTCAAAATAGCACAGGCGTATAATAAAAATTGCCCAGCAAATAATGAAAGTAATTGATTAGGCGTGAGGTGGCACTTCGAACAACTGGTTCGAGGAAGAATAAAATGTTTCTCAAATCTGACTACTGGAGAACGTTCTTTGAGATTTCTGAGAGGGTGTGTTACGATTTATGGAAGTTACAGTGCTGAAGGTTCCCGAAGGGTGAAGGTGCCTTCTGAAGAACTATTTTATCAAAGTGCAACGAAGTTCATGGCACTTTCAGACTTTTTTCGAGTAACGTTCA